TCCCTCCTGCTCCCGGTGCTGCTCCCGGTGCTGGACATCCCTCCTGCTCCCGGTGCTGGGCATCCCTCCTGCTCCCGGTGCTGCTCCCAGCTCCAGAAGGAGCAGATTCCATCCCAAGGGACACCTTGGAGCTGTTGTACCTCCCTGCCCTCTTTGTGTGGCTGTCACCCCGCGATGTGGCACAGGGTAACCGAGAGTGGCAGGAAACCTCTTGGCACGGGCAGTGGTGCCATCCCAGTGGGATGGAGCCATGGGGCAGCGTTCCAGACCCCCGGAAAGAGCAAATCCTGGAGCTCGGGAGAGAACAAATCCCAGAGCCTGGGAAAAGAGCAAATCCCAGAGCCTGGGACAGAGCAAATCCCAGAGTCTGGGAAAGAGCAAATCCCAGAGTCTGGGACAGAAAAAATCCCAGAGTCTGGAAAAGAAAAAATCCCAGAGTCTGGGACAGAGCAAATCCCAGAGCCTGGGACAGAGCAAATCCCAGAGCCTGGGACAGAGAAAATCCCAGAGTCTGGGACAGAGAAAATCCCAGAGTCTGGAAAAGAAAAAATCCCAGAGTCTGGGACAGAGAAAATCCCAGAGTCTGGGAAAGAGCAGATCCCAGAGCCTGGGACAGAGCAGATCCCAGAGTCTGGGACAGAGCAGATCCCGGAGTCTGGGACAGAGCAGATCCCTGGAATAAGAGAGATCCCAGAGTCTGGGACAGAGCAGATCCCAGAGCCTGGGACAAAGCAGATCCCAGAGCTGGGGCTGGGAAGGGCTCCCGTGCCCATGAGGAGAGAAGGGAGGGCTTGAGGCTGCCCTGCAGCGGGTGGCAGCTGCTCTGCACCGTGTCCCTTGTCCCCTCTGCCTGAAGAGGAGATCCCAGCGTGCCACCAACGCTGGTCACCCCTGCCAGGACATCGGGCCGGCGCCAGGGGTAGGTGGGGAGAGGCCTCGTGCCTCAGTTTCCCCCGTGCTGCCACATCAGCAGGGCTGAGGCTGCAGGTGCGGGGCTGAGCGGGACCTGCTCCCCCAGGTGAGTTCGGGGTTGGGGAGGCTCCTCCCTGGGCTCTGTCACCAGCCAGGAACCGGCAGAGGAAGGACCGACACCCCCCCCCCCGCATCGGTGGCCTGAGCCCTCCCATCTCCCCCGCCAGCACCACCTCTCATAACATCTCATCTTCTCTCTCTCCTCCCCTCTCCTCCTCCTCCTCCTCCTCCTCTCCATCCCTCCACCCTCCCCCAAACCCGCCGTGCCCCCTCTGTGCCCCCAAGCTGGAGCGAGGAGGACGCGCAGCCCCACAGGTGTTTACGCCTCAGGTAACGCCCGGCCCCGGCCGCGGGGAGCCCCCACCCGAGCCCGGCAGGGTTCGCGGGGCCACCCCGGTCCCTCTGCTCGGCGGCTGTCCCCAAATCCTCGTGGCAGAGCCCAAAAGCGCGCAGGTGTTTATGCAGGACCCAGGCGGGCAGCGGCGCCGCGGGCACGGGGGCGCGGTGCCCGGGGCGCTCCGCTCGCCGCCCGCGGCTGATTCTCTTTTCTCCTGTGTCTGTGCCCTGCCCCTCCAGCCCCATCTTTAGTGGTAAGAGGAGGCTCTTGCAGACCTCGTGGGGCACGTGGAGACGGAGGTACCGAGTCCTGCCCGTCCCGGGAGCCTCGGGATGCACGGACGCGCTCCCTGCCTGCGTGCCTGCGGCATGGACGGGGCTGGGGACCGAGGCACGGCGGGTGGAGGCTGAATTTGGGCCCCCCCCCAGGGCAGGGAGGCTGTGCATGGTCTGGACTGAGCTGGCTGTCCCTTGCTGCCTCAGTTTCCCCGTTGCAACGTGGATGGGAACGGGTTGGTGGCAACAGTCTCCGGCACGTGGAGACATCCCATTAATCCCATAAATCCCATAAATCCCATAAATCCCATAAATCCCATAAATCCCATAAATCCCATAAATCCCAGCTGGGTGCTGCAGCCGGATTCCTTGGACACAGCCCTTCCCAGCCTGGGAATGTGTGGGATGTGTGGGAGCCACCCTGAGTGGCCAGCACAGGGAAGGGCTGTGAGCTCTGTGCCCTGCCAGGACCCTGCCTGTATCCCTGCCAGGACCCTGCCTGTATCCCTGCCTGTATCCCTGCCAGGACCCTGCCTGTATCCCTGCCTGTATCCCTGCCAGGACCTTTCCTGTATCCCTGCCTGTATCCCTGCCTGTATTCCTGCCTGTATCCCTGCCAGGACCCTGCCTGTACCCCTGCCAGGACCTTGCCTGTATCCCTGCCGTTATCCCTGCCTTGCCCTACCTGAGGAAATCCAGGAATGTCACCTGGGTTTCGTGGAGCCTGTCGTGCAGCGGGTGTGGGATCCACTCCGGGTCCTCCCCGGCTTTAGGGTGTTCCCCGTGTGTCCCCTCGAGCTGCGTTTGGGGTCTCTCATCACGCAAAATTCGGGGGTTTTTGAGTAGGTCCTGCATAAACAACGCCCGGTGTTTCCCCCCTACCCGAAATTGCAGCGGGGTTTGGGAGCAGAACTCGCGGCAGGGCAGGAGCAGAGCCTGGATTGGGAGGTGCAGCCCGGAGGAGGAGGAGGAGGAGGAGGATGAAGCAGTTCGGCCGGGTTTGGACACCCCGTGCCAGCAGGGATGGAGCAGGAGCAGAGCTCAGCGGTGGCCCCTGCCGCCACGCCTGTCTGTCCCCTCTCTCCCTGCCTGTCACCTCCTTCCTCTGCTCTCGGGACCAAAAATAAAAATGGGATTTAAAGGAGCAGCCCCAGCGCTGCCCCTGCAGGAACCGCCTGCTCCTGACCCGACTCGTGCCCATCACCTGCCGGGGGCTCTCTGTGAGCTCAGCACGGCCACCCCCACTTCATACCCCACTTCAAACAGGGGCCACCTCGTCCCTGTCCCTGTCCCTGTCCCTGTCCCTGTCCCTGTCCCTGTCCCTGTCCCTGTCCCTGTCCCTGTCCCTGTCCCTGTCCCTGTCCCCAGGGCCGTGACGCCGCCCTCCCGCTGTCCCCGCGCAGCAACAAGATGGGCATCAAGGAGCGGATCCGGCTGAGCAGCTCGCAGCGCCAGGGCAGCCGCGGCCGGCAGCAGCCCCTGGGGCCGCCCCTGCACCGCTCCCCCAGCCCCGAGGACGTGGCCGAGGCCTCCAGCCCCACCAAGGTGCAGAAAAGCTGGAGCTTCAACGACCGCACCCGGTTCCGAGCATCCCTCAGGCTCAAGCCGCGGACCCCGGCTGAGGGTGAGCCCCTGGCTGGGGGAGGGTCCGGGGGACACTTTGGGGGGGGTTGCGGGGTTGGGGACAGTCCTCGGGGTGTGCCATCCACCCGCTCTTGGCACCCACAGGCGACTGCCCGCCGGAGGACAGCGGCGAGGAGAGGAGCTCCCCGTGCGAGCTGACCTTCGAGGACATCATGCCGGCGGTGAAGACCCTCATCCGGGCCGTCAGGTGAGACTGTCCCCTCCCGTGTCCCCCGAGCTCCCACCCTGGCACCCCGTTCCTGCCTCCAGCCCGGCTGTCCCTGCAGGATCCTGAAGTTCCTGGTGGCCAAGAGGAAGTTCAAGGAGACCTTGCGTCCCTACGACGTCAAGGATGTCATCGAGCAGTACTCGGCCGGACACCTGGACATGCTGGGCAGGATCAAGAGCCTGCAGACGCGGTGAGGAGCCCTGCAGGTGGCCCCGGGGGTTCTCCCACCTTCCCTGGCGGGCTGCCGAGCCTTTGGGAGTGACGGATGCGCTCTGCCCCTTCCCTCCCTGCCAGCGTGGACCAGATCGTGGGCAGGGATCGGGCGCTGCCCGCGGACAAGAAGGTTCGGGAGAAGGGGGAGAAGCCGGCGCCGGAGGCGGAGCTGGTGGACGAGCTCAGCATGATGGGGCGCGTGGTCAAAGTGGAGCGGCAGGTCAGGAGGGGACACCGGGGCAATGTCCCCGTCCCTCGGGAGGGCCAGCCGAGCCCCTGCCCACCCTGCGGCCCTTGCAGGTGCAATCCATCGAGCACAAGCTGGACCTGCTGCTCGGCCTCTACTCGCGGTGCCTCCGCAAGGGCTCCGCCACCTCCTTGGTGCTGGCCGCAGTGCGGGCGCCGCCCGGCGAGCCCGACATCACCTCCGACTACCAGAGCCCCGTGGAGCACGAGGACATCTCCGCGTCCGCCCAGAGCCTCAGCATCTCCCGCTCGGCCAGCGCCAACATGGACTGAGCAGCCGGCAGCGGGACGGGCGGGCAGGACACCGGGAGCGCCCTGGCCTTGTGGCGCTGTCCCCGCGCTGTCCCCGCGCTGTCCCCTCGCCGTGTTACCTGAACCGAGTCTTCCTCTGCGGGGACACGGCTGTGGCACTGCGGCATGGCCAGCCCACGCTCCTGGGGTGCTCCTGGGGTGTTCCTGGGATGCTCCTGAGGTTCTCCTGGAATATTCCTGGGGATGTTCCTGGGGATGTTCCTGGGGTTCTCCTGGGGATGCTCCTGGGGATGTTCCTGGGGTTCTCTTGGGATGCTCCTGGGGATGTTCCTGGGGTGTTCCTGGGATGTTCCTGGGAATGTTCCAGGGATGCTCCTGGGGATGTTCCTGGGGTGTTCCTGGGGTGTTCCTGGGATGCTCCTGAGGTTCTCCTGGAATATTCCTGGGGATGTTCCTGGGGTGTTCCTGGGGATGCTCTTAGGGTGTTCCTGGGGATGTTCTTGGGGTGTTCCTGGGATGCTCTGGGATGTTCCTGAGGTGCTCCTGGAATATTCCTGGGGTGTTCCTGAGGATGCTCCTGGGATGTTCCTGGGGTGCTCCTAGATTGGTCCAGGTTGTTCCTGAGGATGCTCCTGGAATATTCCTGGGATGCTCCTGGCTTCCTGCAGGATGGCACCCCTCAGCTCCGGGCTCCTGGGTGCTCCCCGGCTGTGGTGGGGATGCTCTGGGCTGGCCCCATCCCCTGGGGGTTGGTTTGAACCCCAGCCCCAGCCCTCAGGACAGGTCCTGCCTGGTCCCCCAGAGCTGAGCCGGGGCCACCACCAGCTATGCAAGGTCCCATCTCCCTCTTGCTGCCCGTGCAGGGGTGTGGGGGCACGACCCGGGGTGGCTTTACCTGTGTCACTCGGGGTCCCCAGTGTGGGGAGCAGGGGACTGCCCCCCCTGACCAGGCTGCACCTCTCCAGAAGCACAGCAGAGCCTTCTGCCTGCCCGTGCATGCTCCCAGGGCAATATATATATAGAAGATATATATATATATTTATGCAATAATGTCTTAATATGCAACACCCCTGGGAAGAGCAACCCGAGGGGCCATAGGCAATAAGCAACCCCCTGCCAGCTCCCAGGGCTGGGCTGCGCTGCCGGGGGGTGGCCCTGGAGCCAGGAAGGTGAGCAGGGCTGTGGGGACAGCCGCTGTCCCCAAGGAGCGTCCCTGCCCCGCGTCCTCCTGCTTAGAGGATTCCCTCCCGGCTGGCTCCTGCGGTGCTCACCTTGTCCCTGTCCCTGTCCCCTCTGCGGTCCGGGGAGCACGGGCCGGGCCTGGAGGAGGCCAGCTCGGTGGGGACAGGGCGGTGTCCTTGCATGTCACCTCCAGCAGAGCCGCGACAGCTCCCGCGCTGCCCCAACGCCCTGCGCTGCCCCGCTCCCAGTCCCGGCGCTGCTTCCCAGCCTGGCACCGCCGCGGCTGTGCCAAAGTGCCAGGCTGGGCTGGCAGCCGAGCCTCCAGCGGGGCTGCGTGGTCGCCCCGCAGTGCCTGGGCTGCTCCCACCGCTCCCCGTCCGCCCCTCTCCGGGTTTGGGACCGTGGGATTCGCACCCCCTCCTCCCGTGCCTCTGCCCCGGGCACCGGCGGCTCCTGGCCCTGCTCGTCCCCTCGCCCCGTTCGTGCATGTGGCCAGCGCGGGCCGTGCCAGGGCCGCCCCTGCTCCTGCCCGGCTGCTGCCACGCCGGGGGACGGCTCTGGGTGCGTGGCCGTGGGGCGAGGTGCATGCGACAGCTTTGCCCGCAGCCGCACGCAGGAATTAACCCTTAGAACCCCGCCGCCGGGGCTGGCTGGTCCCCGCAGACCCCCGAGCCAGCGGTAGTTACCTCACTTGATTAACTTAATTAACTTATTTGTTTCATTAAAATTTGGAGTAGAGGCTGCCCGCCTGCTGCCGTCTGTCTCCCGGTGCTCCCGAGAGGTGGCACTCCAGCCTTGTCACCGAGCCGCGGCAGGGGACAGCAACGTCCGCCGGGGGACACGAATGTCCGGGAGGGGACACAACTGTCCGGGAGGGGACACAACTGTCCGGGAGGGGACACAAGTGTCCGGCAGGGGACACAATTGTCCGCAGGGGACACAAATGTCCGGCATGGGACAAAAATGTCCGCAGGGGACACGAATGTCCGACGGGGACACAAATGTCCGGCAGGGGACACAAATGTCCGGCAGGGGACACAATTGTCCGCAGGGGTCACAAATGTCCGGCAGGGGACACAAATGTCCATCAGGGGACACGAATGTCCTGGAGGGATCACAAATGTCCGTCAGGGGACACAAATGTCCGCAGGGGACACAATTGTCCGCAGGGCTCACAAATGTCCGTCAGGGGACACAAATGTCCGGCAGGGGACACAAGTGTCCGGCAGAGGACACAATTGTCCGCAGGGGACACAAATGTCCATCAGGGGACACAATTGTCCGCAGGGGTCACAAATGTCCGGCAGGGGACACAAATGTCCGGCAGAGGACACAATTGTCCGCAGGGGACACAAATGTCCATCAGGGGACACGAATGTCCGGGAGGGGACACGAATGTCCTGGAGGGGACACAAGTGTCCGGCAGGGGACACAAATGTCCATCAGGGGACACAATTCTCCGCAGGGGTCACAAATGTCCGTCAGGGGACACAATGGTCCGCAGGGCTCACAAATGTCCGTCAGGGGACACAAATGTCCGGCAGGGGACACAAGTGTCCGGCAGGGGACACAATTGTCCACAGGGGACACAAATGTCCATCAGGGGACACGAATGTCCGGGAGGGGACACGAATGTCCTGGAGGGGACACAAGTGTCCGGCAGGGGACACAAATGTCCATCAGGGGACACAATTGTCCGCAGGGGTCACAAATGTCCGTCAGGGGACACAAATGTCCAGCAGGGGACACAATTGTCCGGCATGGGACACAACTGTCCATCAGGGGACACAACTGTCCGGAGGGGACACAAATGTCCGGCAGGGGACACAAATGTCCGGACGCCCCCCTGACCCCCTGAGCTGCAGACATGCACCGGGAGGGGGTTGAGAGCCCAGCTCCAGCTCGTTCGCCCTCCCCAGCTCCATCTGTGCCCAGGGGGGTGCAGGGCTGGTGGCACTGCAGAATGACCCGGGCGATGCTTTTTTGGCACCTCACAGGGAAGAGTCGCTGCCCCGGGCAGGGCTGTGCCCCACCTGCCTATTTGGGGTGTCCCCTCCACATGGCGACGTCGCTGCGATGTCCCCAAGGTCATCCCGGGGAGGTGAGGGTGGAGCCCCTTCCCCAGGAGCCCCAGACCCCTCTAAGGACAGCAAAGTTTCACCCCATGGCTGAGCGGGCACCCTGGGCACAGCCGGGGGCTGAGGCGGCCCCTTCCCGTGCCGCTGGCCCGGGAGGAAGCCGGGGCTGGCCGCGGCTCAGTCCCTGCCTTTCCTGGCTGCCTCCTGCCAAAAAACTCGCTCCAGGATTGCCTCGGAGCCAAGCACGGCGGGGGCAGCACCTCCGTGCTCGGGGACGGGGGGCTCGGGGGTCTCCAGCCCCCCGGTTCCGCGGCGTGCCCGATGTGCGGGGTGCTGTCCCTGTGGGGTGGCTTCGGGGGGCACCGCGCCGGCCTCTCGCGGCGTTCCCGGAGGGGTGGGCGGCTTTCCCGAGTGGGTTTGGGGGGGATCCATCCCTGCAGCTGTGGGATCTTCACCCCGCACCCCGCGGGGACGCAGCTCGGCAGAGCCCGGGTGGGTTCGTGGGGCGTCCAGCGCCCCCCCAGCGGGGTGTGTGGGGTCTTGCCGTGGTTCGGAGCACCGGGGACGGGCTCCTGGTGGCTCGTCCCTCCCCCGGCACGGCCGGGACGGGGGCACAGGCAGGGCAGAGGGTGTGTGCCAGCCCTCGGCTCTGCCTCCCGCCGTCCCACGGGCCCAAGGTGCCCTGGCAGGACTTTGTCCCCACCCGCCCTGGGTGCCCCACGGGTGCCGAGGCTGCCACTCCCCGCAGAGGCGACACGCGCGGGTGGGAGGCGCGGGCGTCAGGGTGACACAGAGGGAGCGGTGACCTGGCAGGGAACATCCTTTTTCCATTTTCCCTGGGAAAGAAAACTCAGCAGTCCAGGTTCCTGATGTCAGTTTGTAGGGCTCCCTTGGGT